TTTTCAACTCATTTTTAGTGTGTTTGAGGGTTAATCAAAGCATAAGCAACATATCCAAAAATTCCTAAGTAGATTATTGAAGGTTTTGTAGCTTTTCCGACTTCATATGACGTTTGATTCAACACAGCCTTTGTAGGAGATATATTTAATAAATATACTGAAGAAGCCTCTACATTCGCCCAATACTGATTTGGATGGTCGTTCCCTTTTAGTAAACTTCTTACTATTTCAACAACGACACAATTTTTGCATTCAGCAATGCCATTTTGTTTTGATGTGTAAGGTGCTATTAGTTCCCTGTAAATTCCATTTTTTTCACAAATGTGATTGAACTCATTTGATAAGAACTCACCACCTCTGTTCGAATGGAGAGTTTTAATACATAGCCTACTTTGCTTCTCCACCAAAGCCTTGAATTTTTTACAATTTTTAAAAGTTTCTGACTTGAAAGTCATAAAATACACCCATATCATGCGACTAAAATCATCTATAAAAAGTAAAAAATATCGATTGTCGCTAAAAGACTCTGTGTTCATTAGACCATACAAGTTAGCATGAATTAATTCAAGACAAATAGTTGCTCTCCAATCCTTTCTAATAGGAAACACATTGTTACTATGTTTCATATATGCAGCCCTCACATAAATCAAAAGAATCAATTTTCGGCAAGCCTACAACCATACCTTTCTAACCCAACAATTGCAGCCCCTTGTGATTAAGATGCATATACATTTCTAACCCAACAATTCATAGCTATTACATTTGATGAGCCTTGAAGCTCTATTTATAGGATTGTCCATGCTTGCTTTGAAGTCATAACTACTACAATTTTTTAGAAAATCATGTCATGGACTATTTATTGGATGAAGAACAATGCTTTGGAGTCTTTCTTCATGTTCTCCTTCAAATAGTTCTCATCTGGATCAACAAACCCATTTTTTACTAAGTCCCAAAGGTCTTGAGACTTGAATAAAGTCTTCATTTTGATTCTCCAAAGCTCATAACTCTCTCCTTTAAAAGGTGTAAAATCTTTGAAAATGATATATATATTTATAGCATAAGAAAAGAATGAAGCAGCATAAGCAAATACTAAAACTCGCTCTCACACCTCGTTTTCCTCTAGTCCATGGCATCCTCCTGCCACCGAGAAAGCTATTAAGAAATCCTTTGATGTGGTTGTTCTTGAAACACAGTCATCTGGAAGAAAAGAGATAGAAGACACTCCATCTATCTTTTCGATGCCAATATCTGCTTGGTTCTTGAACTCAATTCTCGATTTGGTTAGTATTGCGGTATTCGGCCATGATACATACTTTCATGATACATACTCCGAATGTGTCCTCGTTACATGGCCAAGCTACTGTGATCTTGATTAGCTATTTTAAGAATGGTCTCTGCAACTGCAAGGGTGATGGTGGTGGAAGCTTATTCTTTATTTTTTAACATTTTTGTTTTAAATTTAAACTAATTCTATTTATTATACATATTCTTGTTGGGCTTTCACTAAGTCCATGTAGCGCCCGGACCGAGGAGGAAAAAAAAAAAAGCCACGTCGGCAGCCACGTCAGCAGGCCCGGTCAGCAATCCCGGCCAACCGGGACCTGCCACATGGCAAAACCACGTCGTGCCAAAAAGGGCCACATTGGCGATCCGCGTGGGCGCGATCGGACGGCCCAGATCAAGCGTGCGATCGGACGGCCCAGATTAAAACAAAATGGACGGCTGAGATCAAAAGGCAAGGGGTTATAAATAGAACCCCCACACCAGACCACAAACCCTAGCCACCTGCCACTCGCCGGAGAAGACGAACCAGAAGCCGGCC